CACATGCACGTAGGTGGGGAACTGCTAGATCACAGATGATACATGTTTGGCGTCAGTAGATAACTGCCAGTTTTCCAAAGTTGTTTTCCAATCGCAATTCCACCAAATATGTTTTATCCTTCCAGCTGCTTTGCATCCTAACACTTAATACTCTGAGTTTTCTTTAACTTTTTTTGTGTGTATGGGAAATTTTACTTTTAATTTCCCTGATGTGTTTATCTTCTGTAGTGGGAGAATGCCCAGGCAGCTTTAGCATTTATAATGGACAAACAGGCAGACCAGGAGGACCTAGATATCCTTGCAGAGGTCTGAGCTTTCTGTATTGGTACTGATTCCGTGTTTTCAATACTGCCTCTTTCCAGATCCTACTCCCTTTAAGAACAAATGGGACTCGAGTAAAGACCTGCCCCTCCCTAAGGCAGACTCAAGGCCACATGCCCTGGTCAAGTTATGTTGGAGACACAACAATGACCAAGACTGCAAAACACTTAATCCTTTTTGGACATCGTGGTGCCAGGAAGTACGCTTGAGCACAGATTACTTTGAGGAATTGGAAAATTACTTGAACTAGATTTGTAAATAATTTTCAGATTGGACAGTGGAGTGGTATAACTTTATAGATGGGCTCTTTGGGGCCAATACCTAGCTACACAAGTGTTTGTAACTGATCCTGCTAAATGTATTGTGGGAGTAGGTGTGTTGATTATAGGTAATAGTTCTCTTGATCATAAGGAATGTTCTCAATGGGGAAATGTCATGATTGGAACAGTGATGGTGACTGTGGGTAAAAAGAACATTTCCAGAAAATCTCATCTGTCTTTGGTCCATCTGCATATCAACAGGCATTCAGAGGTGGAAAGAAATATGGCTTTTGTGCATCTGTATCTTTCCTCAGGGGTGGAGAAGTTCATCTCTGTATCAGTGGGAAATTACGTGGGCAACTGGAGGGCTTCTCTGTACGTGAGAGGTGAGGGGGAGAGCTGGTTTTGGCTGCTGCTGGGGAAGGAGAGAGAGAGAGACAGACAGACAGACAGACAGACACCAGACTGCAGTTTTGTAAGCCATAAACGGGTTTTAAACTTTATTTCTCTCTTTGACTGATTTCGGTTTTTAGAGGTATTTTGCCCCGGGATTTCCTCTCCCCACACTTACAGTGACACAAATACAGGACCTGTAGCCTACTAGACCTCCCCAGTTTAGTCATATAGTTACTGTAAAGAAGTATATGGGACACTAGGGCAGGGGGCAGGGGAATAGAAGAGGTCAGATGACATGATACTGATCACGGATGTGACAGAGGCAGAGGTGCTTATACAAACTGTCACGTGACAGCCCTGGTAACCAGTAGAAAAAGCCAGTGTGGTTAGGCAGCTCACTGGGGACTACTACAAGCTCCATGTGGTAGGCATCCCTCTTCCACATGCAGTTCCAGATTTAACAATTACAAAGTCCATAATGCAGACTGAAGGTGTCTGTTTTACAGTGGAGGACACTGCTAATGCCTTCTTGGCATCCGGCTGCATCCTAAAGATCAGAGTCAGTTTTCCTTCACAAGATTCTAATTATCTTCATTATGTTTCCACGGGCTACTTAAAGTCTAACAATTTATCACTAGTATTTATTTAGGTTGAGACCTGGAAAAAGCTGTCCTGGTACTATTATACTGATGGCATTACTCAAATTGGAAGGGCTACAGACACCATATAGGCCACTTTCATAAGATGAGTCAGTATCTAAACCAGGGCTGGAAGATTAACAAACCAACTAGATACAGAGGCCAACTACTCAAGTAAGCATCTTAGGAATCATGTGGGCTAATGCCCAGAGTGAAAGCACTGAGCATATTAATGACAAACTATTGGCCTTAAAACTTCCAGCAAAGAACTCTCTGGAGGACTTGTGCCAGGGGATGATCATCAAAAAGCCTCCACAGGGATCCGGACGATGCTGCAGTTGTGGCTGCATCCAGCCCACCGTCTCCTGGACTTGCCATAGGAATGAAGAGGGAGATGTCTAGGTTGGCATGTGCATACAGTGAGACAACGAATTTGACCGGATCTGTACTGTTGGAACTCAACCAGGAGTTGGGAGGGGTGCAAGGTGTAGCACTCCAAAATCTTATGACTATAGACTATCTACGGTTAAAAGAACATATGGGATGTGAACAGATCCCAGAAATGGGCTGCTTTAATTTGTCTGATTTCTCTCAGACTGTTCAAGTACAGTTG